CCTGCCAACTGCCGCCTTTGATCGTTTAGGGAATAGTAGTCACGCAGAGAATTTGTTGATCCGTGGAGGACCATGCTTTGTGATTCGAGGGGTCGCCAACCATTTGACACCAAGACGTTAACAGCCCTTGTCCTTCACAAAGACCGCGCCAAAGACCGCGCAATGCCTAGGGTAAGTTGTTCTGCTCGGCACGGCGTCAGGCATCGACGCGTCGGGCGCATGCTTGGTGTTTCTCGACAGGCTGGGTGGCCGATTCTCCGCCTGGTGTTCTCGAGCACTCGTCTTGAGCGCTGGTCTTTCTGCTGCCTTATAAGCCTTCCTGTCTCTTCGAGACGGAGGAGGAGGATTCGAACCACTAGGAGATGCACAGTGCCTGTCTGAAGGATAATTGAAAGCATACCAAAGTGACCGCCAACGTGCAACGACGAGCCCGCCATGACTGACCACCACATCGAAGACTTTCCCACCCGCGCGGTGCAGAAGCTGACTGCCATGCTCACGCTCCCGCCCCAACACGGGCTCGTTCGGCCGACGGCCGGCTGGCAGGCCAGCCAGAGCGAAGCCGTCGCCAACCTTCCCCAGAGCTGCCGGCGTCCGCCCATCGAGGACGCCAACCCCATCAAGCTCCTCAAGCGAGGGCTCATGAGAATGTCGGAGAAGCACTCACTCCCCTTGGTCCCCGACGCCGCCGTCCTGTGCCAGGCGCACAAGGAGCTCCACCCCTGGCGCATGCGCAGCCTCTTCCTGCTGCTCGCCTCCGAGTGCGGCATCCGGTCGGACCGCATCCGCCGGCACCAGGGCTTCGACGGCATCCCGCCGGCGCAGGACGTCCAGGACTTTGTGTACCGCATGACGTCGATCGCCGGTCTGTGGATCGCGCCCGCCGACTTTGAGGCCCGCTTCGGGTTCCAGCCCGACGTGCTGCGGCCGCTCCGGTCGGGCTGCGAGGCCTGCATGCTGGCCGTCGTCGGCGCACGCGCGCAGCTGCTCGTCGACCTGCGCGCCAACATGCTGGCGCGTTCGAAACGGGGCCACGAGCCGGCCTTCTTGCGCTTCGTCGACGCCTGGATCGAGTGGGTTCGGCGACGATGCGAGCGCCGTCTTTGCCGAAAAGCCAGTGGGCTGTCGGACCAGTTGCGGGCCGATCCGGCCCCGAAGATGGGCCCGCCGTCACCCCCTTAAAGAGGGGGGCGCTGCGCCGATCCCTAGGGGAGACGGGGCTGACTGAGGGCGTGGGTCGCTCG